AAAAAAAAAAAAAAAAAAATTATGTTTTAGCTATCATTTTCACGTCCCGGCGTTTTCTCCGGACCAATCATTTTGTGGCGCCAGTGACCATTCAAGTCTGGTTTGGGATACCTTTTTTCAGTTTGGTACCCTTTAATGATTAAATTTCTTTGCTAACTACTTTAGATGAAAAATATGTTATCAAAGGCGTCTTGTACTTATGTTTATGGATTATAATTTGATATTTAATCTTTTTTTTTTTACATTTTGATTTTACCGGTAAGGTAGATTTGCAATTGTGTGTAGTTGTGCGCATTTTGATGCCGAAGAGTGAATTCAATAGGAAAGCAGAAACTTTCAAGTTAACAAACAAATTCATACATTTCTGTAAAGAGTGCCAGTTATTTGTCTTCAGTGATCTTACAGACATTGATTCCATCACATTAGCTTAATACCCAAGCTCAAGCTGTGAATGCGCAAAGATCATTTTTTAAATAAGTGCAGAAATTCTCGCGCCCTCATTGGCTAATTTTTATTGTCAATAAGTGGACAGACACATGAATTTATAATTTAAATGATGCGTCAGCGAGCGAGGGTGGACAATTTAATAATTTGTTATTGTAAAAAACAAATTGAAGTCAGTTTTTAATGCAACTGTCCTGTTATTGACAATGAATTTCATCATAACATTGTCAAAGTAGACTGCGGATCCACTCAGCTATCGCCTCGTGGATCCACAGCTACTTTGACAACGTTATGACTAAATTCATTTCAGTTTGTTGAATTGATCAATAGCAGGGAGATATCTACAAGACGTTTTAAGAGAATGAGAATACAAGAAATTTTTATAGGAATGCTCTACCTTACTTCCATTGGGTATTGGTTACTGCCTTAGCACCAAATTAGGTAATTTTGGGACATTTTGGGTTTTTAAAGATTATAATAGCTTTTCTAAACCAGTGTAACATTTTTATATTTATCATTTTTGGGGAGTTTAGCTGCATAGGTTATCCACTCCATTTTGCTAAAATCACCTCAAATCAGCAAGGGTACTGACAGCAGGAAATACACAATGGAGGGAAGGGGGCCAGGGGGAGGGGTGAAGGAAGGGTTTTCTGTTTAGGATTCTATAATAATTTGCATCTTCTAAAACATGTAAATACTCTAGGGCATTGTACAATATGATCTTTGCTAACTCACAGCCTGGATCTGCTGGTCCCCTGTGGATCAGGGAAGCATAAAAGTTTAAAATGTAGACCACAGACCTTTGCTTGCCATTTTTTAACCTGTTGTTCTTTCAGCAATATAGAGGTGGAAAAATGGTTTGCAGTCACAAACAGTGATGACTGCAGTGCTGTCTGTGTAAATTTACACAGACTGATAATGGCAATTTTTTTATGATTGTGGTTCAAGCTACATTGTGTAAGAAATGTCCTTTCCCGAGCTTGGTTCCTACTCGTGATAATCTGCATTACATACTTTCTTTAATTTGGTACATTGTAATTACATTTTTATTTATGATTGACATACATTTCTTTTATTTTGTAGCAGTTACAGGACAGCAATCACCAGAGGACAACCAATTTCAAAACTCTTAGCAAAGAATACTACAAACAACTTTGGCACTAGATTAAGAACTTTGCACATCTGGAAATTTTTAGAACAGAACCCAAAATGTTCAGCCAGGCACTGGTCATTTCTTAAATATACAGGACTTTTAGCTGTTGGAGCACTAGTTGTCAGATCAAAGATCTCCAGCGCACACTGTGGCTTGAAGTTAAGCCACAAATCATCTTCACACCACGTAGAGAAGAAAGGCAAAGAAGGAGAGAAAAAACAGCCAAAATTTGACTTCAGAGAATTCTGGAAGTTCCTATGGCCAGATTTATGGCTGCTATTGTTGGCAGGTTTGAGTGCTTTTGCAGTTGCCATGGTGAACATTGAATTGCCACTGTTGCTAGGAAACCTGGTAAATGCAGTTTCAAGTTTAACAGGTGGAGCTCACAATAATGATTTTTTTCAAGTATTAAGAGAGCCTGCTGTGAAACTGATATCAATTTACGGAGCTCAAGCAGTTCTTACATTCTGTTACATTTCATTTCTTTCATGCCTTGGTGAGAGGTTGGCAGAAAGAATGCGTAATGCTTTATTTGCGTCATTGATACGACAAGACATTGCTTTCTTTGATAGTCATAAAACTGGAGAACTAGTTAACAGGTAAGTTACGGTTCTTGAGCTTTCGGCAGTCAGGGTCAAGATTTCCTAACACTTTATAATTTGAATACAGACAGCAGGGAACCTCAGACTGCATGTAACTGTTTTTAATTTTTCAGTTGGATACAAACATGAGTTTGTACAAAAAAAAAAACATGAAGATCCATGAACCCACATGCACCTGATGAAATTTCTCATGAGAACTTATATAGCACTTATATATAATAGTTAATACACTCTATTAAGTCATGAGCCAATCTTAGCTGTGGAAAATCAACCAATCACATCAAAACATCATGCTTTACAGTTGATGTATAACCAGTTTACCTCATCGACTGATAACTAGCAGTATGGCATCATGAAATAATTGAAAATTACTTTATTATTTCTAACCCTAGTTAATAATTTTGCAGAAGAAGCACAGGTTGATGGATTGTTCATACAATGTACATTTGTCCCTGTGTAACCTTTACTGGTCTGTTGCTTAGACTTGCCCAAAATGAAATGCTTATCATTCTTACTTACAAGTGTATTAAGAGTTACAATAATGTTTCAGGATTTAAGTTTATTCTTGATTAAACATAGCATATATTTGCTCTTAAAGATTGACAGCTGACATCCAGGATTTCAAGAGTGCATTCAAGCAGGTCATTTCTCAAGGCTTGCGCAGCACAACACAGACGATTGGTTGCGTGGTGTCACTCTACATGATTTCACCTAAACTCACTCTTATGATGATGGTTGTGTTACCGACTGTCATCATTGGCGGCACTTTGTTTGGGTCACTGTTAAGGAGGCTTTCCAGGGCAGCTCAAGCACAGGTTGCCAAAGCAACTGCTGTGGCTGATGAGGCACTGGGAAATGCGCGAACAGTGAGAGCTTTTGCTATGGAGGACAAAGAAACAAAGTAAGATAATCAAGTAGTGCATTTTTCACTTAATACAATCATTCATATTAATTTTTAATTGCAATATTAACCTCTTAGACTTACTAACCAAGTGCATGGGCCTTACTGGGAATATTGCCCCAAGGTTGTGGCAGTATGGATAGAGTACAGCATGGCCCTGAAAAACAACCGAGGGTCAATATTTGCCAGGGCTGTCAATAAGGGCTGTAACCCATATCACCTGTTACAGCTGAGTATGTTTGATGGACCCTTGATGTTATGGGTGAACTGGCCTGTAGCTGATACAATTCACCCGTAAGCAACAAGTTTGCTTCGGGCATGAATATCAAGGCTACAGGTGAATCAAAACTTAACAGCAGCCCTGTTTGTCAGTCCGACTCTAGGAAGCTAGGTCAGCTGGTTGTAGTATATTACATTACAATGGGAAACAAAAGAATAGACGGCTTATAATCATTTCCATGAAAATGGTTCATATGGCAAAATCCTGACCTAGAGAGAACCAATCAGAACACTCGGATAATTGACATGAAGACTACCTTGCCATAAAATACAGTAAGTCATTTAAAACTGACCAACAAGGCTCGTTTTTCTAGAGAATTATGTCCCCAGTTATTCAATGATAGGATTATAGGAACCTACGGTTCACCTTTTTACCGAAATGGTGGCCATTTTGATTTTTATTGATTTCAGATCTCGACATCATCATGGGATTCTCAGGGGGTTAATTAGTATGTACTTGGCCCCCAAGCATTCCATAATTAATTAGTTACCGTACATATTTGAAACAATGGAATTTAAAATGGCCACGGTATTGGCAAAAAGGTCGTACTATCGGTTAACGAAAGTTTATTGCCTGATAGTAATTTATTGGGTGGTAGATAGCACTATCCTTTTGAACATCTGGATCTTGGTACAAGTAAAATTTAATTTAACCCCTATAAGACACCAGTTGATATTAACAATTATAATGTATTATTAAACATGTAGATAAATGAGGCACTTTTTGAAATTTGGTTTTAAACAATTTTTGTTGATTGAGGGCTTGAAAATAATCCAACAGGTTGTATGAAAAAGAAGTAGTACATTTTTGTGAGAGTTAGATTTCAGGTACAGTATTTCGTACATTGTATAATTTTGCAACTTTCTTGTAGACTGTATCATGATGAGGTATCCAAATCTAAGACACTGAATGAATTGCTGGGAATTGGAGTTGGAGCTTTCCAGGGTATGGCCAACCTGGCTATTAATGGCCTTGCATTGGTTGTGTTATACTATGGAGGATCACTTCTTGCCAATGGGGAAATGGAACCTGGGGACTTGATGAGTTTCCTGGTGGCTACACAGACCATTCAAAGGTACATAATGTAGGCAACCATTTAATAGAAAGTCTTACAGCAAATGAGATGCTAGTCTGACATGGCTGCCCCTCATTTACCTGCAGACACTGTTTTTGCCAGTGCCAATTTTTTTCCACACTCTAGAGGCTATACTAGAGTCATTTCTTTCCCCAGGATATAAGTCAATGATCTGGCCTAACCTGCCTCAGACCCAGACAGCTTCATCCAGAGAGTAGTGTGTTAACCGTAATGCCACCATGCCTTCTACAATGTCAAAAGAAACTGCTATTATATAATATCTTTTTCGTTGTTGTTCATAATAGCTACATATACTTCTGAGGACTATTAAGTTACATATTTGATAAGCTTGTTGCCCTTATTGGCTAGTGGTTGTTATGCTGTAGTGTTGGGGTCAGTTGATTTCTAGGATAGCAATATAAAGCTATGAAATCATCATACAGACATAGAATAACTGCAACCGTAATCCATCAAATATTTTCGCTTGCTCGCAATTGGTCTAAACAAGTTACATGACTGAATATGCCCCAGCTGAAACTGGGGAA